GGGTCCCGGAGCAAGAGGGTCAGCTGTTTATATATTTTTTTAATATGTTTGTTTGTAATCAATTAAAATCAATGATGGGCACATATATGTACCAAACTCCCAGACATAGTTACAAACAACGTTTGGTGGTGATATGAATAGAAATAAAGACACAGATTGCTTTGTCAATTTCAAAACAGCAGATAGATTTTTTTTTGTGGTCCTGGTATTGGATGTTTTGTGTTGGCTTGTACTCTTTTTCTGCGTTCACTTATAAAAGGTTCCTAGTGTGTTGTTGTTTGCAGTGAGGCTGTGATATCTATGCATTTTGGCTCAATACATATCCGTTTTTTTTTTTTCAAACTCAATTAATTGCCTTTTACAACATGCTTGGAGGGGGGGGGGGGGTGAATGAGGGAACGGGAGATAGGCTGCGAGCACTATGTAACATATAATGGTACAACAGGATAATGAATGTTGGGGAGGGTCAGGGGGTCTGTTGGCTGATAGCATGATACAGCTCTGCAGCATGGGACTCAAATAAGACCAGAAGAGTGAAGAGAACTTTGGAGCTTTTATACATCGTTTGAGACATGTTGTTTGTCTTGGTTGGTCGCAGTGTGAGGCTTGCAGTTTGTGTTGGTTTAGTCACAGTATGAAACATGTAGTTTGTCTTGGTTTGGTCACAGTGTGAGACATGTAGTTTGTCTTGGCTGGATCACAATGCAAGACATGTAGTTTGTCTTGGCTGGATCACAATGCAAGACATGTAGTTTGTCTTGGTTTGGTCACAATGTGAGACTTGTAGTTTTTTCATGGTTGGATCACAGTTTGAGACCTGCAGTTTGCCTTGGTTGGGTCACAGTTTTAGACATGTAGTTTGTCTTGGTTTGGTCACAATGTGAGACTTGTAGTTTTTTCATGGTTGGATCACAGTTTGAGACCTGCAGTTTGCCTTGGTTGGGTCACAGTTTTAGACATGTAGTTTGTCTTGGTTTGGTCACAATGTGAGACTTGTAGTTTTGTCATGGTTGGATCACAGTTTGAGACCTGCAGTTTGCCTTGGTTGGGTCACAGTTTTAGACATGCAGTTTGTCTTGGTTTGGTCACAGTGTGAGATTCAATTTGTCTTGATTTGGTAACAGTGTGAGACATGCAGTTTGTCTGGTTTTGGTCACAATGTAAGACATGCAGTTTGTCTTGGTTTGGTCACAGTGTAGTTATGCAGTTTGTCTTGTTTTGGTCATAGTATAAGACATGTAGTTTGTCTTGTTTTGGCCATAGTGTAAGACATGCAGTTTGTCTTGTTTTGGTCATAGTTTAAGACATGCAGTTTGTTTTGGTTTAACCACAGGTAGTCACGCAATCACAGTTCCAACTTTACAGCAGACAGGTCATCCTATAGTTGCTCCATTCCTGTGCCAGTGAAAACCATACAGAATATTCATCACTGTCCCTTATGAAATAACACAGACTACAGTCCCAGCAAAACCAATAGCTTAATGCATTAAGTGCATAAGGCAGTCATCAGAAGTGTTAACACAAATAGTACGGCACTAGAAATGCAGTTTATCATTGATGGAAGCTGCAGTTAGAATAGGAGAAGCCGTTTGCTTCGCACTTTGAAGGTCGTGTGTTCATTTCATGGCGACGGGGTTCAGTTCATGAGTGCAATTTTTACTGAGATCCCTGGAAAGCTACGACCATCGTGCTCTGTGTGATCCTCTCGACAGGTAGCCAGTTGTTTTGCAGAGAGAGACTGAGCCATGTGGGATAAAACCTGGTGCAATGAAGTCGATCTTCTTACATTTACCTACCAGTTACAACAAATCAATGGTTCAACGCGCAATTACTGGCATAAGGCACAACCGATTCTGTAGTAAGAGGTCACTCTCCATTTTCTTAATCTGCAATTCACAAAACAAACAAAAAGTCATGTTGACCCCAGTCAAAAAGCATTCTTAATTGAGCACCAAGCACTCAACTCAGCTAGCCAATCAACTTTCAGTAGCTGGCCAAGCAAATTTCAGTAGCTGGCCAATCAACTTTCAGTAGCTGGCCAATCAACTTTCAGTAGCTGGCCAATCAACTTTCAGTAGTTGGCCAATCAAGTTTCTGTAGATTTATGGAGGGGGGGGGGGGGGGTGTAAGGGATAACCGCTGTCAAGAGCAAATAACTTGCTATGACTACCAACAGTAAGCCGGCCTATCCACCATATTGAACTGTAAGTCCAGACCACAAAAATGGGACAGGTGGGTGAGATGTAGCAGTGTTCAGTGACAGTAAAATAAACAAATCAAATCCTCCAATATGGTAAATAATTTTAATTTTAGAATGAAAAACACTTTTACTTATCACCAGTTGTACATTCCAGTTGTTGCCATGCAAAACAAAATGTTCAGTATTACTAACATTCCAGGCTTATTTTAAATTGTATCTTGTGAAAGAAGATTAACTGTTGCTAGAATCCTTCTCCTTCCTGTTCACCAACTGTAAACTCGGGCAGGAAATTCTAGTTCTTAATCCACTTGTGGACTTTAGTCTTCTTTCAGAACTTGAGTTCTGGGTGCAGATCTGTTTTACAGAACCAACTTATTTGTATGCAGATTGTTGGTCCCCTGCCTATCAGGCAGGTGCACTTCTATTTCAAAGGAAGCTCCCACTTAGTCAACTCTTCCGACATGCTTTTGCATAGGCAATTGGTCTGTTCTTCTTTTCCCTGCGATGCAGCACCCAATTAGGCGACTCATGCTGTTTTAGAGAGGTAGTGGGTCTGCTCTGGTTTTCCCCATAGTAGGGCATTGGAACCCGCACAGGGATACGGATAAATTAAATTCAGTTGTAAAAACTATTGCAGCAATAGCAAATACCTTGAAAACATATTTTATAGAATGAAATTAAAAAACTTATAACCTTCTGAAGGGTGAGAAATCATGATATGAATAATCCCTTTACAGAAATTAGAATAGACACTGAATATTTCAGCCACGTAAGCTTAGAATCTAGATACTGGCCTAATGGTCTTGGGTTCGAATCTGCATCTAGTCAGTTTTTTAATACTGAGCGTACCTCCAACATTAACCCAGCCTTAAATAGGTATCATGTGATGTCCTGGGAAATAAAGGCAGCAGTTGTGATATTAACCACATCCTCAGCCAAGCTTGGTTTTGTGTATTTGAAATTCATCTTCATCTTCTTCTGCATTCATTGGAAGTAAACGTGTTGTGCTTGTTTACAACATGGCTGCTGTATTTGTGCTCATTTGGCCGACACATCCAACTTTTGCCTGGGTTATCCTTCCCGGTTAGTTTTGTGAAACACTGCAGTCTCATTATTGTCGCATCCCTGGGCCCTTGCCTGCAGGCTCCCACAAGCATAGGGCTCCATGCTAATCTGTGTGTATGTTCAATATTGTCGACCATTTACATTTCATTCCTGTAACTGGTGATCATAGGGATCACTGCACACTGGTTTGTTAGGGGCCCATGATGCTGTGAAGATGGCTGTGTATAGAATAGTGTGTTTACTGCGCCACTCAAGATATTTGTACAGACATGTACGTGTACACTCCTCTTTGCATATTTTATTTGTTTGCTGATGAAAGATATTTAGCTTCTCTAGTCATCTTCCACTTTTATGATCAAGACAATGTAAAGCTGACATGTTATACAATGTTTTACAGTGTGCTTTTGCAGCAACACAGCTTTAATGCATTGTGTATACTTTTGTGTGCTTTATTAAATACACCATTGTTTTGATTCCTTTGAACTTGTTTATGGTAACTTTGTAGATTTATGTTGGGTTTAACTAGTTTTTATTTAGAATTGTTTGTGTCAGGTGAACACACGTTTAGTCTTCATTTCTTTGTTTTATAATCGTCATCATAGCAATTTTGGCAGACTCATAGATGCTTCGTCTCTAACAGTAAATGTTGTAAAGTGTAGATTTAACTGTCAACCATCAATATCTGTAAACTCCAGCAAAAAAGTGTTTGTTAGTCGTCCACACGTCTGGACTTTGGTGGTCTTGTTTCAGGACTTGAGAATTGCATGTACGTCCATTACTACTTCTCCTTCTTAGTGTTCACTGGCTTTAAGCCCCATGGGGAATTTATGGTTTTTCATCCACTCCTGGACTTTGATCTTGTTTCAGAATGTGAGTTTTGCATAGACATCCGTTTTATACAGATCTGTCATATTTGTTTGCAGACTGTTGGTTCCTCGCCTTTCAGGAAGATGCAGCTAGACTGAAGGACACATTCTTGTTAGGGAAGGGCATTGGGGGTGGATGGGTTCATTTCTTCCTCAAAAAGGGGCCCTGGAACCCACACTGGGAGTCTGATGCAATAAGTTTAGTCCTGTCACCTTTAAACCTTTCTCTGCTGTGCTCATATAGAACCGTGGACGCCTTATTCATACACGGATATACAAATGTAAGTGTCCATACCAATGTTTTTATTTAACATAATGTACTATCATGAAACAGCCCGATGTTATATGTGCGTTTATTATGGCCTCATATCTTAGTTACTGTTAAGGTGCAAAAAAAACATCTTTTGTTGAATATGTTTTGTAGATTTTTGTTTTGATAATGAAAGAACAGTGCTCAGGTATGGATTGACATTTTGAACATTTTCGTCTTCCTGTGGCAATATAATAATGTGAGTAGAGGCCATTTTACAAATACTAAATGCCCGGCTCTCTAGCATAGTTGGTTAAACCTGAATTTCGTGGCGGCCGGGTGACGAACTCCTTGTGGTCAGGGTTCACTCCCGGGGGTAGGCAGAAAAGCCACATTTCTCCCAGATTTACGGTACCTATAATGGAATCAAGGCTGAAGGGTTGCGATATCCATAGTACCGAGCCAAAGGGTTTACAACTCATGGTTTCTGGATACTTTAAAAAAAAAAAACTAAATATGACAAATTAGGCTTTGAACTCAAAACATCATATAATGTTGCGTAGTGCTACATGTAGTAATAAAGGTTTCCTGAAAGGAAAAGCTGGAGCTTTAAAATGTTTCATGAGGATTTTAGTTCTTGTAAACGGATGTCCCCTCGACCTAAACTTCCCAGCAGCGGTGCTCTACTCCCTTCCATTCTACTAGCAGACGATTTTTGCTTCTCAAGTTCAGAGAGAGTCCTGGCAATGGCAGAAGTCAATTCACTGCTCTCCATCTCATCTGCAATTTGCCAGAGTGGACTATCTTCAAACAAACGGTCACCGACAGGCTGGCCAAGAAAAGTACACCATTTGAGGATCACACCTGGAAAAATATAATAGCAAAATACTTTTCAGAAAATCAGTGCAAAGTTTTTCTATTGCAAATATGAACAATGAAGACACATACAATACTGTAGTATGCACCTGACTAGATAAGGCCGAAACTGTCAGACAGTCTGTTGTGTGATCTGTTGTTTCATTCTTCTACACAGTGAAGATTATGTTAATGCAAATTTTCTTTATAACTGAGACTAAAAAGAGAATTCTTAAAAGCTATATAAATACTATCTTCATATATGGAAGTAACGAATGAACGAACGAACTTTATTTTTAAAGGGTCACAAATTGGGCACGCAGGCCTGTCTTACATTCGGACCTTCCAGTCAACCATCTTTCGCACAGCAGTTGTATTTTACTAATAAAGCATGTTATGATCATATGATGATATGCATATTATGAATATTATAAAAGAACACAAACGCATGAGTTGTAAAGTGCATGCAAAAACCTGCGCGTGCATATACACACCCACATATACACACCCACATACATACACGCTCACCCACTCACTTACACAACATACATACATGCATACATTACATATACATTATATATTACAGTAAATCATGGTCAGCTGGTAAATTAGCGGGTTTTGAATCCGCAGAGTCTGATATCTTTTGTAACCTAAAATTGTCGGCTCCCAGGTCAACCCAGCCTAAAATAAGTGCCGGGTAATGTCCTGGGATGTAAAGGGGGCTGGCTAGATGTTGACCACATCACCCACTGAGTACAGATTGGTCTCTATTACTATAACAGATGATTTAAGCATATGTCTGATGCGCCATTGCCGTCAAATGGGTCCTTTATGATTAAGCTATGGGTGTGTGTGTTTTATAGAAGAACTTGTTCTTTATTAATATCTTACCTCCAGGTGACGTCACAAGACAGTCCAACATTTTAGAGGATTTTAAGACTGGGTTTCCCGGCTTTCTGATGCTTTTAATGACCCCAAAACATCTAGAACTGGTCCTAACCCCAACCCACCTACGTCCCACGAATGCTTGCAGTCTATCTACCACCCACTCAAATTTTAGACTTTCCCGTGAATTTTCCCTGTTTGGGGTAGGATATTAATAAAGCACCGAAGAACGTTGATGACGCCATGGACAGATAAAAAGCGTGACTTTTGGGGGCAAATTTCCTTTTTTCTTTCTCAAGACGATTGTGTTAAGGGAATCCCAGGCAACGGCGATGGCAAGTGTGACTAGCAAGAATCGCCCGCGTTAAGAAGCCTCCCACAATTAAAGCATGGAAGTTCCTCCTTATCATAGCTCAAAGCCTGGACAGTGTTGTTGAGACCATGTGTTGCCCAAGTATCATGATTCCATCACATGGCCTGCCTTGTTTACTCCAAAGGAAGGGTAACACCACTATGGTTTGGAACAAAACACTCTGCAAAAGCTGCCGGATCAAAAGAGTAGTGCTCTATCTGTCCGCCTGTCAAATCTTTTCTCCTAGATCAGCTGCCAGCCAAGGCTAAGAGCCTGGTTTAGCCTGCCATAACAGTATGTTTTGCAGGTTGCGTTTCCTTTTATGATAAGGCTAGAATCCTCCCCAGTGTGCTCCTCCAACCATATCATTTGGTAAAGCCTAAATCTTTCCTAGGTAGCCATGGTGAAGGTAGAGACAAGTATGTTTGTCTGAAAAAGAAAACAAAAGCGTAACGATGCCTATTTAAAATTGACTCCTGACACTGATAACCTACCTACAATTAATCCACTAACAACAGCCATCGCTGAAGTGACAGCAAGGGCAATTAACTGAAAGCTAGACTGCACCCCGGCTGATCTCCCTTTGCCAGGCTGAAACTCCACTTCACCTTCTAATTCTGGCCAGTCTGGGCTGGAAGCGTTTGGCGCCATTGCCGGGAATTGTCTGTAAAGTCTGAAATACAAGACTCGCGAAACTCATTCTGTACCTGATTCGTAGTTCGTTATAAAATAACTTGGACTAGTAAAACCTCCTTCTTCTTCTTCTTTTTTTTTTTTGTTCTTCTTTTTGTTCTTCTTCTTCTTCTCTTTCCACTTCTTCTTCTTCTTCTTCTTCTTTCTTCTTCTGTGGAGACGGCACCTGACTGATGATAAGCAAAAAAAGTTTTTCTCTTCTTCTTTGTTCACCAGCTTAAAGCTCCGACGGGAGATCATGGTTGTTCGACCACTTGGACTTCGGCTCTGAGCCAGACCCTCAGCTTTGCGTTGGCATCCGTTGTACTGAGTTATTTGTGTGCAGTTGGTTGTTCCACGCCACTCAGGCAGATGTCCTCAGACTTTGAAGGAAGTCCCCAATTAGTCGACTCCTACGACATTCTTGTTTGGGAATCAATGGGTATATTCTAGCTTTTACTCCCATTGGGGCCCCGGAACCCATAAGGGGAATTGGTACTCATCATCCTCACAAATCCCTCATCATCCTCATCAATCATTCACTGTCCTCATCAGTCAGTCATCATTCTCATCAATCACTCATCATCCTCATCAATCAGTCATCATTCTCATAAATCATTCACTGTCCTTCACAGTCAGCCATCATCCTCATCAATCATTCACTGTCCTCATCAGGCAGCCATCATCCCCATCAATCACTCATCATCCTCATCAGTCATTCACTATCCTCATCAGTCAGCCACCATCCTCATCAATCACTCATCCTCATCAATCATTCACTGTCCTCATCAGTCAGCCATCATCCTAATCAATCACTCGTCGTTCTCATCAACAATTTACTGTCCTCATCAGTCAGCCATCATGCTCATCAATCACTCTTCACTCACTTATCATCCTCATCAATAATTCACTGTCCTCATCAGTCAGTCATCATCCTCATCAATAAATCGTCGTTCTCATCAATCACTCATCATCCTCATCAATCAGTCATCATTCTCATAAATCATTCACAGTCAGCCATCATCCTCATCAATCATTCACTGTCCTCATCAGGCAGCCATCATCCCCATCAATCACTCATCCTCATCAATCATTCACTGTCCTCATCAGTCAGCCATCATCCTAATCAATCACTCGTCGTTCTCATCAACCATTTACTGTCCTCATCAGTCAGCCATCATGCTCATCAATCATTCTTCACTCACTTATCATCCTCATCAATCATTCACTGTCCTCATCAGTCAGTCATCATCCTCATCAATAAATCGTCGTTCTCATCAATCATTCACTGTCCTCATCAGTCAGCCATCATGCTCACCAATCACTCATCATCCTCATCAATCATTCGCTGTCCCCATCAGTCAGCCATCATCCTCATTAATCACTCATCATCCTTATCAATCATTCACTGTCCTCATCAGACAGCCATCATCCTTATCAATCACTTATCGTTCTCATCAATTATTCACTGTCCTCATCAGTCAGCCATCATCCTCATCAATCACTCATCATCCTCATCAATCATTCACTGTCCTCATCAGTCAACCATCATCCTCATCAATCACTCATCGTTTTCATCAATAATTCACTGTCCTCATCAGTCAGCCATCATCCTCACCAGTCACTCATCGTTCTCATCAATCATTCACTGTCCTCATCAGTCAGCCATCATTCTCATCAATCACTCATCACCCTTATCAGTCAGCATGTTTCTTATGCTACATCGCTCTCTTAATGACAAACCCCAAAAGCATGTCGTAAGAGTCGACTAATTGGGGAGCTTCCTTTGAAGTCGGAGTGCATCTGCCGGAGAGGCAAGAAACCAACAGGCTGTATTCAAGAGAATGAGATTTGTAAAACTGATGCACACGCAACACTCAGGTTCTGGAGCAGGACTGCAGTTCAGTAGTGGACGATCAACCAGAACTTTCCGCCAGAGTGTACAGCTGGTGAACGCGAAGAAGAAGAAGAAGATAACATCATTAAATGTTTTGTACCTACCTACGCGGAGGTCTGTATCTACAGGTGTTAAAACATACCACAGGAGCGCACACACATACACACACACACACACACACACACAAACACTGGAGGTCAGCCATGTAGCAACCATAAGGTTGTGACTCCACTCATATTCTGCGCCATTTCTGGGCTTGATGCTTCCATCCGGTTCAGACCGCTCGTCCTCCGCCCTGTTGTTACTTGTGCATGTCTTTCCTCGTCTTACTTAGTGTTTCCTGTTTGTCTTCCTTGGATTTGGATAGGCATATTTCATAGGAGAGCGCGCTTTTCCACGTAACGTCCTTTGGATCACTATTTACGGTTTTAACATTTTGAGTATTTTATTTCGCCAAAATGTACTGAAAACAGTTTTTGATTTTGGATAGTTCCGAACTGACTGACTGACTGACTTTCTACCCCACTAGGACATCACACAAGCGATAAACACCCGATGACACAAAGTGCCACCATGTGGATGAGGATCACCATGGAGAGGTCCCAGAAACCGCGTTCAGACAATTGGCCATATATATTGCGGCCCCTGGCAAAAGTCGGGGTGGGGCTTCAAATAACAAAAAATTTCGTCCTAAAAAGGACGAAACACCTATTAACAAAAAGTAGTTCCGAAATGTTCGCCTCTCATTCAAAAGCTGTAGCTTCTTTGTGCTATAACATGTCTCTCTACGTGTCGAGTTCTTATTGGTAGATAGCCAGACTTACGGTGACGTATTTGTAACCAATCACAGATAAAAAGCCGGCTACCGAACCAATGATAAGAGCTCCATACGGCATGATGATCATGTCTGCGCTGGTTCCAATAGCCACGCCCCCTGCAAGAGTGGCGTTCTGGATATGAACCTGCTCAAAACAAATTATGATTATTATTATTATTATTTTTATTTTTATTATAATAGTCATTATAAAGAAGGTTGCGGCAGTCGCCGTGGCGTTGGTGGCTAGCCCCCCCCCCCCACCCCCCCCCCCCCCCCGCGGATCGGCAGGTCATGGGTTCGGGTCCTGGCGGAGCCAAACTTTTCTTTTTAAATGACTCCTATGTCGACCCAGCTGTTAGTGGATACCAGGTGTAGTCATGGGAAGTAAAGGCGACCATCGGGATGCTGACCACATCACCCACCAAGTGCCGATTGGTCTAAAAAAATTTAGGTCTGGCCCTATTTTCCCAATAACCTTAAAGGCGTGGAAAAGGGACCATGACTTTATTTATAAAGAAGATTGTTGTTTTACATTTGGTTTTTGGTTATGAGCATTTTATACTTGAGAGATGACAACAGTTGGATCTAAACAAAAGTATATACTATTACTGTTTGCTATTTATTACAAATACACTATTCGCTTTACGTCTTCAACATTACAAAAAGAACACAGGCTGCATGATTACACTGCGCATGCAGAAATTGTAATGTGTTAAAGCTCCAAATTAGCCAGTAGTACTACGAGCTAACTGTGCGCAATAGCAAAGCGACGAGGAGTAAAATATCACGTGGTTTACTCTTCAGTGCTCTTCAGTGTAACTGTTTCCTGCTAAGGCTTACACGTGGGAACTGATGGCGCCTCGTCCATAATACGTGAAAGACAAATATAATTTGACTACACAGGCAAACAATACTACAATCTCCCTTAGTGATATCCTAGTTAATGTGGGGAGTCATGCACTACTGGAGGCAAAGGCTGATAATCTGATACAGATTTTAAAATATAAATACGAAAGGAAAGACGAGTTTTCGTAGTCCTGTAAAATCTATGAAGTCAAAGAACATTAAACCTAGTCTTCCGTTTCTTCTTCTTCTTCTTCACTTTCTCTTTTGCTGCTTCGAGTGTCGAAGAAGATGAAAGGTTCTACTTATAGTTCTTTTAACAGTCTCATTCATAGATACATCGTGCTCTTGTAGAGATTCTCTGATGTTATCTTTCCATTTGTTCTTGGTCGACCTCCTGATCTGCATTCGTCCCCTCTTTTATTGTATGCCTGATATGGTATGGCGTCACAAGGCATTCTAAGTAGGTAAACCAAATAATCGGCTGTCTTTGTATGTAATTTAGAATTAGTCATGTGTCGACCTTTTTTAATGACTTCCTTCCTGATTTGATCTCTGCTGGTGACTTTTTCAGCCCTTCTGGGTCAACTTCCTTCTAACAAAGGTCAAATGTTTAACTCTGATGTCAAATCTGTACTGCTGTGTTAAGCTAAACACAGAAAACAGCTAATAAAGTTAAAATAAACTACATATATTCATTTGACTCCCAGGTCGACCCAGCCTTGAGTGGGTACCAGGTATTGTATTCTAATAATATTTCTGTAGTATTTTAGGTGCAAACCTCCGATTTGTTTTCTTCAGTGATTGAATAATTCAGCAATGACAGAATCCCTAGTTCAGATTTTTCGGAAACACGCAGACATATATGTGTGTGTGTGTATATATACATATATATATTTATATATGTACATGTGTGTGTGTGTGTTGATCCAGGGGTACAGAAAAGACAACGACTTTCAATAGATTTTACGCTCAGAAACTGCTAACAATATAATCAGACGTCCTTGGACCCAGAATCTGTTTATTTTAGTTAAAATAAACATGTACATACCCCACAGTGTGCCTGTCAGACAAAACCACAAAGACTTGACCACTTTCTGCAGACCTGCCCACCCTATCTACAGTTTCGAAAAGAAACCTGGCCTCAAGAGCAACATGTGCAGAGCAAGCTATGAGAGACCTGCAGCTGGCATACGAACTCATAGGGGCAACCCACCTGATGGTCTGACATGAGCATACGAAACTGAACGCAAATAAATGACTAATACAATGGGGGTATAGTGATGAGCTGTGTGCGGTGGCAAAGGATAAGACCGGTTGGCAAGATTCGTTTGCTCTGACTTACCATATCAAACTTGCCATTCTTGTTGACCAAACTGGAAGTAGCAAAGGTCACAACACAGCAGGCGACTAACGCGAAGTAGGTGTTGAGTACAGCCCGGTGTTGCGCGTCTTCCATGGCTAATGCACTGTTGAAACTTGGCCAGAACATCCACAGGAATATAGTGCCTACATCAGAGGAGTTAACTTTGTTCAGTGTCAGTGTAATTACCACAACACAACAAACATGAGAGTCTGTAAGTTTAACAAGTACCAATAAAATAAAGTAGATGATTCCTTTCCAGCCCTTTACTAGGATAATTAACCTGTGGTATACTAGATGGCAGCCCTCCTGGACACTTAGTGCCATTTACCAACATTACCGCATATCCTGCGATGATGATCTCTGTGGTTTCATGCGCATTCCCAGGAGTCCATTAGAGTCTGTTCTGTTCTTGATTCCTCAGTGACAATTGTTTGTCTTATTCTTAACTTCCATTTTCAGAGTCTTACCTATGTTATACTGATTACAATATGCTTATTATTCTGGATTGAGATGTGTTAATGTCATATCTCTTTCAGTTCTTGTAGATTAGGAGGTTTGTGGTTGTAAGTTGGTCTGTCAGATCCATTATTATATTCACGTGTGACTAGGATAAGTTTGCTATCCAGTCTGGGTGGTGAGGGTGTCAGACCAAGTTGCGCCTAGGAATCTTTATTAATTATGTAGTGCCATAATTTGAGTCGCCTCACCCCTGAAGTATGTTGGATGTTTCCTGGGACCGCGGCATTCCGCCTAGACCAGTACGAGCCAACATCTCAACATAATAACTACTTCAGAGTGTCTTTTTGGTTCGTTTAGGAAACCCTAATAAAGACTCGTAGCGACACCTGTCATACGACATGGCCACTGTGTTACGTAGGATGTCATGGTGTGCATGGGTGCCTCCAAAAATGTACACATTGTTAAGACTATAAATACTCCCCGTGTGTGTCCAGGAGGCCTACGTAGGGTAGAGGGAGATACCCAACGCCCCTCAACAAGCAAGTCGTAAATGTGACTAATTGGAGATGTTTCCTTCAGAGTCTGATTGCATCTGCCTGAGAGATGAGTAACGAAGACAGCCGATCAAATGGTTTGCAGCAAAACATCATATATCATCACAGGCACCAGATCTCAGAAGATCAGCTACAAGATCAAGAGGACTGCGGCGAAAAAATCGGATCGACAATATTAAAGACACTCTGCGCCTTCAGGGCATCACAGTAGCCAGAGGCAGCAAGCGTGCACTGGATCGCAATTCATTCCTCCCCACGTCGTTTAACAACAGAAGTGATTTACGATGATGATGATGATGATATGAGCCTTCCAGGACTGAGCAATGAGAAAACTTTTGTGACACTGCTCATTCCATTACCTCAGTGATTGTAATCGGGTCTTCCCACCGAATGCCAGGAAATCTTCGCAGGCATTGCTTGTGTCTGATACTGCATAAAAAACGCACAGACAGGTTGCTGCTGTCTGGATCAAACTTAAAATATACACGCCAGATCAGGGTTTACCCGTTTAGAGAAAATGCCTCGTGATGCCACACAATTGTTCATACACTCGAATGGGCGTCGCTTAGTGCCACAAAGCCTGGTGTATGATATCACAACGTCTAGTTTGAGAATGGAGGTGGAGGCAGTCACTTCTGCCTTTCCGCTGGCTTGAGAATGAGCTGTACACTCATGTCGTGATTGTAACTGACTCACAGAGCATGTTGAGAAAGGTGGAAACAGGTAGGCTCCGTGCAGAGTGGCAAGCATCACTTTAGATGTACTCGGTAGTTAGCATCCTTTGGATATTTTCTCCAGGCAATGCCGGTGTGTTGGGAAATGAGCAGGCAGACAGACTGGCCGGTTGGTGGTGAACTGATGTATGACAAGCTAGATGTTGTGAGGGCCCTCTGGGAGCGAGCGAATAGTGCGGAAGATCAAATAGATCATTACGGTCTGAGGAGAATGGTGCTGCGAGGAGTTACCAGGGGATCTGGTCGACGCTCAACACTCAAAGGAAAGGCGAGACGGATCTACAATCAGATAGTTACTTGTGCCTTCGGAATTTGAACTCTTCGTTGATGCTGACGATTCTTAATTCATTATTCAATATGCATTTGAAGATCATCTTTACCGCACATTGGTCGTGACCATAAGTGCTCCGATCTCCTGCTGAGTAGGTCTCCAAGTGTTTTTAGGCTAACAACTCCAGTTCTGTTCTGGCTGATGTATCTACTGGTGGCTCCAGCATCGTTTTCCTGTCTAGCTGCTGCAATTAGTACACTTAGAGTATGCAGTCTATTCAGTTTAAAAAAAAAATGAAACTGAAAGCCTTACAGTGTTTAGTCTCTCGTATGGCACTGATGATGTCTCACCTGTCCATGGAGGTCCCATTTCTTATAGTCGCACTGCCAGCCATGACGTCTGCTCTCTCATTGCCTTTCACGCTAGCATGGCCTGGGACAAAAATGAAGGTGATTTGGCGAAACTTTGCGCGATGAATCAGATAAAGCCACTATTTCTGTGGATGCCCCGCCTTGATCTTCTGTAACATGCTTTTTGAGTCGCTGAGAAGGCATGCCTTGGTGAACTTCTAAGTTTTCAGCCTTTTGTCACAGCCATGACCTCCATTGTCATGCTGCTGGTGGTAGAAGCAAAGGCTCAGATGTCTTCTTTGATGATTTCTCCTTTAGTTCTTGCTGTGAAAGTCCATGCACTTCGCTTCTGACGAATCACAAAACCATCTGTATATATATATATAACAACATCTTCCGGTGATGTGTATTCCTCCGCCAATTCTTTTACTTCTGCTTCAAATACTGGTGGCGCCAAATCCCACCATTGTCTTATCAGGGTGATAACCACAACAAAGTACTGCTTGTATTCGTAACGTTTAGTATGGGTACCCATTCGTTTCCGCGGTTTATGTCTTAAAGGGAAATCACCCGCTGAAGTACATGGCGTACACTAAATAAGGAGAAGGACGTATTCAAAAGGTATACCAAGAACGAAGTGGAAAGATAACATCAGAGACACTCTACAACAGCACCATGTGTCTATGGAAGAGGCCACCAAAAGAGCCAGAAGGAGAACCTGATATATCCCTTGACAGCAGAAGCGGTAAAAGGGGAATTGAAGAAGAGGACAAGTTCAATACGAACACAAATATATAAAAGACAATGAAAAAGAAACTCATCAAATTAAGAAAGGAAAAACTAAATCAAAGACACCTACCAACAAGCGCAAACATGTCAGAATGGTACACTGATTCTTCCTTGGTAGACTTCTCCACTTCTGGGCTGTACAGGACACGAGCAACTGATAGTCCAAAGTAGGCACCAAAAGCATGGATGAACATGGAGCCTCCGATGTCTGAAACCTACAGACATCAATAGATAAGATGCCATATGGAACCTTCAGTTTAATACTTCTGTATTTATATTCACTTTGACTTCTAAAGGTGAAAGAGGAAATAAACATTAGAATTGGATATAATACGCTTATTTTTCTTCTTCGTTCGCCCCTAAAAGAGTGTTTGACACGTGTCATTATGGTTTACAGCTAAGCTGCGATACCTGTATCTTTCGGCCCGACATGTCCTATCTCAGCAACCTCTTGCCATATACTTGTTGGAGGGTCTGTTATATTTTCCTCCAAAAAAGGACCCAAGCATCGACACGGGTAGAAATATAAGATATAGTTCGTACAATTTCTCTAACGTCACCTTTTTTCCTATTAAGTGATATATTACATTTGTCTAATTTGCTAGAACTTGTTTTCTTCTTCTTCTTCTTCTTCTTCTTCTTCTTCTTCTTCTTCTTCTTCTTCTTCTTCTTCTTCTTCTTCTTCTTCCTTATTTGTCGTCTCACTGATTCGCTTTGAATAATTATGAGATAGATCTATACCTAACTAAGGCTTTCTATATCTACCACGTAAGTCACCCCCTTACTGTAATTTTTAGGCTTGAAAACTCGACCCATAAGCCGCAATTTACTGTCATTCCCCGAAGGTTAAATAAAACTCTACCTAACTGGTAATCTTCTCAAACATTTCGGAAACAATAAAGAAACAAACAGAGTATTCAAACAACGAATCTCACCTGTAGCAGAACTATTCCAATGTATTCATTCACTGCATACACGATGACCTCAATCAAAGCCATGACCAGAAGCTGAAGGGGGCTTGTTTTCCCCAGCAAAGCCCCAAAGGAGATCAGGACAGTTGCAGCAGCAAAATCTGAAGTGACCATACTGCAAACAAACGGGAAACATTCTTAACTGCAATACCATGAAGTAATTAACTTTTGCAGTACCAAGCATGCTTTGCAAGAAAAAAAAAAATTGGCATAGTGTGGATTAAAATGGTGAATGAATTAAGAAGAAGAATCGACATCGTATAATTGGGGCATTCCTACTCACGTCTGGCTACTGACTGGGCATTCCCACGTTTGTTCTGTCTACTGCCTGGGGCATTCCCACGTATGCTCTGTCTACTGCCTGGAGCATTCCCACGTATGTTCTGTCTACTGCCTAAGGCATTCCCACGTATGCTCTCTCTACTGTCTGAGGCATTCCCACTGTTGTTCTGTCTGCTGCCAGGGGCATTCCCACGTTTGTTCTGTCTACTGTCTGAGGCATTCCTCAGTACGCTCTGTCTACTCCCTGGGGCATTCCCACGTATGTTCTGTCAACTGACTGGGGCATACCCACGTATGTTCTGTCTACTGCCTGGGGCATTCCCACATCTGTTCTGTCTACTGCCTGGGGCATTCCCACGTATGTTCTGTCTACTGACTGGGGCATACCCACGTATGTTCTGTCTCCTGCCTGGGGCATTCCCACGTAAGTTCTATTTACTGCCTGTGACATTCCCACGTGTGTTCTGTCTACTGCCTAGGGCATTCCCACGTATGTTCTGTCTAGTGCCTAGGGCATTCCCATGTATGTTCTGTCTACTGCCTGGGGTATTCCGACGTTTGTTCTGTCTACTGCCTGGGGCATTCCCATGAATGTTCTGTCTACTGCCTGGGGCATTCCCATGTATGTTCTGTCTACTGCCTGGGGCATTCCCACGTTTGTTCTGTCTCCTGCCTGGGGCATTCCCATGTATGTTCTGTCTACTGCCTGGGGCATTCCCATGTTTGTTCTGTCTACTGCCTGGGGCATTCCCATGTATGTTCTGTCTACTGCCTGGGGCATTCCCATGTTTGTTCTGTCTACTGCCTGGGGCATTCCCACGTATGTTCTGTCTACTGCCTGTAGCATTCCCACGTATGTTCTGTCTACTGCCTAGGGCATTCCCACGTATGTTCTGTCTACTGCCTGTGGCATTCCCACGTATGTTCTGTCTACTGCCTAGGGCATTCCCACGTATGTTCTGTCTACTGCCTGTGGCATTCCCACGTATGTTCTGTTTACTGTCTGAGGCATTCCCATGTATGCTCCATCTACTCAGTGGCAAAGAGGAGTTCCCCTACACAGGTGGTCCAGTTGCAACATTGTTAGAAGTCCGCAGTATTTACCTCTGAGCGTTGAAATCCGTCTACAGTTTTAGACCCTTTACTTGCTCCCCGATGAAAAAGTTTTTCGAGGTATGGATACTCTATGCGTCTGCTGCACTGCCCACTTCATTCCAATGAACCATCACCATGTCTACTTTATCATAAAGTAGCTCAACGTCCTTTAAGGTGAGGTCTTGGTCAGATATGACTGAGCTACCTTATAACAGTAGCCGGTACCACCTGTCTTCTGTTGCGCCGAATGTTGGGCGGGGTATACTAACCCAACATCCCATACTGTGCAACGGCTTCGGGCGGAGGAGCGCATTGGGAAGGATACTAGTCTTATCCTAGGAAGAGGAAATGCAACCTGAAAACTGTGTGTTATGGCAGGGCAGACCAGGCCCTTCGCCTTGGCTGGCAGCTGGTCTAGGAGGGAAGCTCTGACAGGCGGACAGATAGAGCACTGCTCTTCTGATCCGGCAGCTTCTGCGACCTGCGGTTTTACCTTTCCTTTGGAGTAAACAAGGAAGGTCAAGGAAGGAATCATTATGCATGGGCAACATATGGTTTCTACACTGCCCAGGCTTTGTGCTCTGGATAGGAGAAACTTCATCCCTGACCTTAATCGGTCTCGGAAACAATTGTGGAAGACTTTTCTTGACACAGGCGGGTCTTGCTAGTCACATTCGCCATCAATTTGGGATGTGAGTCTGATGCCTCCTCGTAGCGCAATATAACACTATCGTCTGGAAAGACGGAAAGGTGCCAATGAATGAGCTCAACGTCCAGAAGGGCGGCAGCAGCCAATCCATCAGCCTGCTCAATGCAGCGCACCATTAAAATCTCATAGGCACACACAAAATCCATAATATACTCCGGATTTGAGTCTTAACGAACGATGCGAGCCACTTTATGTGTATGACTAAAATAGGTTAATATATCAGCTCGATGTCGGACAAAATGACAAATTAAACAAATCAAGAAAGAAGAAAATGTGATCACCATGGGTGATTTTTATGCAAGAATAAGTCACTGGAAGGGAGCAGAAGAATACATTCGAAGATAGCAACAGTCAGAAAAATGAAAATAGCTGCACGTTTCTTGAACCATGTTAGCAGGATTTGTTCATTTGTTTCCAACACTTCACAGTCCCACATATATACGTGTTTGCCCGGCTCTCTGGCGTAGTTGGCTAAACCGGACTGCACGGTGACCGGGTGATGAACTCCTTGTGGTCTGGGTTCACGCCCGGGGGTAGGCAGTAAAGCTACATTTCTCCCAGATTTACGGTATTTATCATGGAATCAAGGCCCAAGGGGTTGCGATATCCATAGTACCGAGTCTAAGGGTTAACAACTTATAATTTCTGGATATTAAAAAAAAACATATATACGTGATATCAATGGAACTATCTAAGCTGTAAAAGTCAAATAGACTATACACTAACCAAGAGAAACCTGGGACAAACGGTAAGAGATACTGACCACAAGGCGGTCATGCTGACCATGAGAATGAACAGTGGGAGGAATACTAGAGGACAACATTCAACCACAAAAGAAACATAGAAGAATAATAACTTGAAGAATGCTGACACACAAGAAGAATACCTTCCCCAAAAAATTACTGAAGATTATACCAGGCTATCCAAAGAAAATCAGAAAAGAAGGAATGAGAAATGTTTAAAAGATCAGTTTTAGAAGCAACAAGAGAAACATGTGAAATGGTAAAGAAGAGAAACACAAGATCACTAACAACACCCTGGTAGAACGATGAAGTTAAAAACAGCAGTGCAGGAAAAGAAATGTAGATACCAGGAGTGGGCGAAAAGTATAAATCAAGAGGAACTTAAAAAATACAGAGCGGCAAGAACGATAACCAGAGATGTTAGAAACGCCAAAAGAAACAACATGGCAGAAATATGTTGAATACTGACACAAAAAGTGCTACAAAAAACTGTTATAAGCAAATAAATATTATGAGAGGTAGGAATGAGCAGCATCACCAAAGAGAAATTTTAAATGAAAAGACGAGAGTCCCCTTAAATGACCCACAAAAGGTCCTTGGGAGATGGCGTTAACATTTCACTGATCTACTTAATTTAGTCAAGGGAACAATCCACAACACAAGAAAACAACAGCTACATAAATGAAAATTTAGAACCAAGCTTAACACTCACAGAATTAAGAAAAGCTATACAAGAGACCCCTTCCAACAAAGCACCAGTTCCTTGTGATATACCTGCTGAACTACTCAAAGCAACAGTTCCTTGTGATATACCTGCTGAACTACTCAAAGCAACAGTTCCTTGTGATATACCTGCTGAACTACTCAAAGCAACAGTTCCTTGTGATATACCTGCTAAACTACTCAAAGCAACAGTTCCTTGTGATATACCTGCTAAACTACTCAAAGCAACAGAAGAGTTTGTCGTAACATGGATGCATGGACTATTCAACCTAGTCAGGAAAACTAACACAAGAGACACCGGAGAACTGGAGAAACGCAATAATAATACCCATCTGGAAGAAGAAAGACAGCAAGAGAAGTTGATAGAAATATAGATGAGTTTCGCTATTCTTCTTCTTCTTCTTCGCGGTCACCAGCTGTAAACTCTGGCGGAGAGTTCTGGTTGTTCATCTATTTTTGGACTGCAGTCCTGTTCCAAAACATGAGTTTTGCGTGTGTATCCGTTTTACAGATCTGACTCATTTGTATGCAGACTGCTGGTTCCTTGCCTCTAAGTCAGATGCACTACGACTTCGAAGGAAGCTCCCAGTTAGTCGACTCCTACGACATGCTTTTGGGTAGGCAGTGGGTCTATTCTTGTTTTCCCTATAGTAGGGCACCGGAACCCACACAGGAAAGTTTCGCTATTGAAACAAACAGGGAAAATATTTTGTCAGATCCTTGACAAAAGGCTACATTCTATCATTGAACCACAACTTAGTGAAGAAAACATGGGATTTCAGAAGAACAGAATCTGTACTGATGCCATATTCACACTTCAACTATTAGTGGAAAGGACGGTAGAATTCGATAAAGAATAGCACGTTGAATTCGTAGACCAAGAGAAAACATGCGATCGAGTTAATAGGAATACATTATGGAAGGTACTAAAGGAAAATATGGTATGGAGATCAACGTAATCAAGACAAAAGTGATGACATTTTCGGAAAATGAAGAACCGCCAACATTAAAACTGGTGTATTTAATTATGCAAGAGTTTTTACGTGAACAGTCGATGCGCAGTTAGAACAAATATAGGAATGTCAGAAAATGTCTGCATTACATCTGGAGTGAGACAGGGGTGCTACTACACAACTACTGTTCATCACATACGTCGACTACATGTGCACATCAGCTAACATCAACGAGGGGGGCAACATCAGAGAATCACTTAATGAATTGCTTTTCGTCTACAACCGGGCAACCATAGCAAAGTCATAGCAACAACAGCAGTACAACTTCCAGAACATGTCAACAGACTCCACTCAGAATGTAGCAAATATGGTATGAAGATCAACGTAATCAAGACAGAAGTGATGACATTTTCAGAAAAAGTAGAACCACCAACATTAGAACTGATGATCACCAGTTAAAACAGGCGAAGGATTTTACATATTTGGGGTGCATTTTTGCAGACGACGAAGAATTTATAAAGAAATCTAGGAAAGACGCAATAAAGCAAAACAAGTTTTAAGCCAAATGGCAACAATTTTAAAATGCAAGTATGTGAATATGAAAACTAAAAGAACACTGTTCCACACAATATGATTACAAGCGCTGTGCTATCAATGTCAAACATCTACACTGTCTTCAGAAGACAGAAGGAAAAAAAGTCACGACAGAAATAAAATAGTTACGTACTATGCTAGTTGTAACGAGGAACTATAGACTTAGCAGCGATGATAGCACGAGGAAAGTCGGCACGGAACTAATACAGAACTTTTTAGCTAGACATCAAATCAAATGGTTTGGCCATGTAACAAGATTTGCATTAGATATGGAATATCACGGAGCAATGATATTAACATTCAAAGGTAACAGAGGCCGAGGTCGAGCATGCAGAATATGCACCACAGAAGACAATGAAAAGTATTTTATACGAAGCGAACAGAAGGACCCGTTCCGGAGTTTTATTCCTGCCCTGACGACGCGAGGCATTCCATGAGTAGAGAAATGAAGAAGATGATGATGACGGACGCAATTTTGTGTTGTTTTAGAGCCCCACCCGACAACAGCGCTGATATAACCCAACCTATAGGCTGAATGGAGTTTCTAGGACCTATTCCTGGGTGCTCCTCATCCAGATGGTGGCACTTTGTGTCACCTGGTTTTTATCGCTCGGTGTGATGTGCTGGTGGGGTTGCACGTCATCGTCATCGTTATAAATCAGCTCGATAACTATTGAAACATACCCACACATGACAATATTTTATCTAGTGACCCCCCCCCCCCAACCCACTTGGGGGGGGGGGGGGGCGGATATAAAAGTTCCAACTGACTAAACGGCTTACGGGGATTTCCCGGATCTGCACTTATCTTATTGCGTCTTCTCCTTCCTTGCGTTCACAGGCTGTAAACTACGGCGGAAAGTTGTAGCTGTTCGTCCACTTCTAGCATTTGATGTTTGCCTACACATTTACGTTACAAATCTACCTTATTTGTAAGCAGACTACTGGTTCTTCACCTCTCAAGCGGATGCCCTCCGACTTTGAATTAAACACCGAAAAAAACGACTTTTACGACATGTTTCGGGGATGGCAGTTCTATTCTATTCTGGTTCTATGACCTCTCCCCCCCCCCCCCCCCCCTCCTTTTCCACACCAAATGAGGCCCTGGATCCCACGCGGTGAGCATTCATTCAAGACAACAATGAATGTAATTGTACAGGCGCAGTATATTCACCTCACAATGCTTACTGTGAACTTATCCCCGCCGTGATGTAAGAAGCCACCCACTAGCGTCGACCACTGGATGGTGATGGCTGCAAGCAGCAGGTTCAAACCCATACTGCTGAATCCGTAGCGCCGCAGGAACATCATCAGGAAACCAAAACCGACGAAGATCATCACATGCACGTCTTGAAACACTTGTTGTACAATTAGCAATACAATATAATGTAACATAATAGAAAAACATAATATAATATAATATAATATAATATAATATAATATAATATAATATAATATAATATAATATAATATAATATAATATAATATAATATAATATAATATAATATAATATAATATAATATAATATAATATAATATAATATAATATAATATAAAGAATACAATACAATACAATACAATGTTATATAATATAATACAATACAATACAATACAATACAATACAATACAATACAATATAATACAATACAATATAATACAATACAATACAATACAATACAATACAATACAATATAATATAATATAATATAATATAATACAATACAATACAATATAATATAATACAATACAATACAATATAATATAATATAATATAATATAATACAATACAATACAATATAATATAATACAATACAATACAATACAATACAATACAATACAATATAATACAATACAATACAATACAATACAATACAATACAATACAATACAATACAATACAATACAATACAATACAATATAATATAATATAATATAATATAATATAATATAATATAATATAATATAATATAATATACGACATGCATTCTTGTTTTCCCTTTAAGATGCCCGGGAACCCACATGGGGGAACTATGAAGTATTGATTGTTTTATTAACTTTTTCAATACCAAACAACTCACTACGAGTTTGTTTAAGTTGCCTGGCTTATGGTTTTTGAGCACTGTGTACATTACCAAGCTGTTGCCTCTTATATCCCAGCTGTTACTTCAGGTTATTTTGTCTCTTGATGCTATCATTTGAACCCCTTCTATATCAACTGTTACTTCAGGTCCTTTGTCTCTTGATGCTATTATTATAACCCCTTATATCCTAACTGTTACTTCATGTCCCTTGTCTCTTGATGCTATTATTTGAACCCCTTCTATCCCAACTGTTACTTCAGGTCCTTTGTCTCTTGATGCTATTATTTGAACCCCTTATATCCCAACTGTACCTCAGGTCCTTTTGTCTTGTGATGCTATTATTTGAACCCCTTCCATCCCAACTGTTACTTCAGGTCCTTTTGTCTTGTGATGCTATTATTTGAACCCCTTCTATCCTAACTGTTACTTCAGGTCCTTTTGTCTCTTGATGCTATTATTTGAACCCCTTATATCCTAACTGTTACTTCAGGTCCTTTTGTCTCTTGATGCTATTATTAAAACCCCTTATATCCTAACTGTTACTTCAGGTTCTTTGTTTCTTGATGCTATTATTTGAACCCCTTATATCCTAACTGTTACTTCAGGTCCTTTGTCTCTTGATGCTATTATTTGAACCCCTTTTATCCCAGCTGTTACTTCCGGTCCTTTTGTCTCATGATGCTATTATTTGAGCTCCCTCAGACCAAAACAATTATCTTAAACAACTACTGTTTATGAAGTTCTTCTTCTCATTCTTAAAGTCCATGCCGTGTGGCGTTGGTAGTCATCTCTGTCAACAACCCTCTGTCACGTTTACTTTCAATCAACTCTGACACAAATCATCCTCCATGCCATGGTGTCAGACTGCCCACCATTTTCTCTGTAGGTCTCCCTCTGCCTCTTCTCCCCTTCGACTTTCCTACTCTCGCGCACTGTACTGTTAAGAAAGTTACAGTTGCAGAAAGACATACCAGGGACTGAAAGACTAAGAGATGGCATTCATTACACACGTATATCAACTTAGTCGGCTCCGTGGCTAAGTCGATGCAAACGCTTCGTAATGCCGGGATGCCGGGTTCGATCCCAGCTGCGGGCCATGCGCCTTGCATTGGTTTCGACAGTGGTATCAAGAAAGCCGACCGTCCAAGGCAAACTACTGGGCGTAAACTTGCCTAGAAAAACCACACAACAGCCCTGTGGTTGGTTCTGAAACGTCCGGTAAAGGATACGCAACTAATCATATCAACATAAAACATGTTAACACCAACCTCACTTCGATGGAAGAAAGTCCTTATCAAGGCTCAAATAATGGCAACGCCAGGGCATTGGGTCGGAAACTCGGTCTCCAGTTAACAAATCACCAATTCTCCTACAGACTAATTTTCCGCTTCTTCTTCAGCCTTGTATCTTCCATAGAAAATAGGTCCTTAATAAAGCCTTTTGTATATTTATTTCAACAAGCGCGCCATAATGCTAGATAGTCTTTCTTCTTGAGCCTAGAAGGTCCCAGCTCTCCATGTCTGGCGGTTCGATGCCACCTGTTTTACGTCTTGGACGATTATTAGGCCCATGGAGCCTTCCCTGGTGATGGTTCTACACGAGGTCTTTCTTGGTCTTCCTCATTTTTTTTGTCCCAGCCGGTGTCCATATAAGGGCTTGATGGAGAAGCCTTGCCCTAAATATTCTGTGTGCATGGCCGAATTGTTTAAATGTCGGCACCCTTATTTTATTATTGGATGCATTTTGTAACTAGTGGTTTTTTCCCCCCCAGCTAACGGGATGAAGCACCAAAACTCTCTGTAGCCCACCTTTCTGGCCTCTTACAATATGCATATGATGTTACAGTGCTAATACTATTTGCTTCAGGTATGGGCCCGATAATACACTAGCTGAGTTAGCCGGATAACAGTGGTACACTTACTTGGATAATAATGAGAAAGTTCAGAGGTAATCTTGGATGGACCAGCGCTGTTGTTATTACTTTCAGATAGACCATATTGTCTAGGTCTAGCTTCACTGTCATAATCAACAAATAAACCGAAAAGGGCGAAGAACGTGATCTGAATCACCATTAACAATACGGGCAGCTTCAGTTTGGCTAGCCACAAGGACGCCATTTTTAGCCAGTTTTTATTCTGTAAAATACTTTGGCTTCAGACATCCGATTTCTTCTGAAATGTTCAGACTCGTGGTGTTTAAGCTTTAGGGTCGCAGGTCGGTTATGTCGCCGTTCTCAGACTGGAAAGAAAGAAAGAAAAATAGTCGGTATTTTGTTTTTTAAATAGTACATATTGTGTGTGGGAGGGGAGGGGGGGGGGCCGTTTTGTAGCGGCTAGACGCTAGCCTACAGATCCGAAGGTGGTGGGTTCAAGTCCTGACGGAGGCGGATTAAAAAAAATGTCTAGCTCCTGGGTTGACCCAACGTTAAATGGATGCTCGGTGAGTCCTGTGAAGTAAAGGCGGCCGGTTTGATGCTAACCACATCCCCTATCTTGTGCCGATTGGTCTATAAAATATAGGTCTAGCCCTATCTGCCCTATATGCCTAAAGGCGTGGAAAAGGGACATTTTCTTATTTTTTCACTTAATTAACAATACGTCCTAATGTCGGACGCAGTTTTGTTGTTGTTTTAAAGCCCCACTCTGGCTGTTGCAAGAGGGGGGGGGGGCCTAATATAACCCAAACTATTGGTTGAGCGGAGTTTCTGGCACATGCCCTGGGTGATCCTCACGCGAATGGTGGCGTTCTGCATCACCAGGTGTTTATCGCTTGGTGTTATGCCCTGGTGGGTTTGAACGTCAGTCTGTTATTTACTATCTGCTACTACCCAACAACAACAAACAAACAAAATTCAAACCTGCATAGACCGTGGCGACATAGGCCATGGTGCCCTAAATCCCAAGTCTAAAAAACGAGCTTACACTGAAAACTGGCAAAAACCGACATTAATCGGCAATTTGGCAATACTTTTTTTTTTGTTACTAAGATACCTACGTACTTAAAACGTATCGACCCGATGCCGACTTGATCCAACTTAGCCTACTATAGTACTATTGGCCTCTGATACTAACATTAGCCGTCCCAGATTAAACTTAACCAGTACCACAAACACATCAACCTGTTGCGGGCATTAAAACCAACTTCATGTGTCAAGTGACATTTTTTCACAGTACGTTAATTACGCGTGTTGTTCTTCTAGGTTGCCAGGTTGGTTGACACGCAGTGTTGTGATTTGCATCTAGGCTGAATTACGCGTGAATTCACAGTGCATTTTTCTAACAGACGTGTATTTTCATAAGTTATTTTTTACTGTTACACACGCATATTTGAAAACGTGATTCTTAGTAAAGTATAAATACAACTTCAAACACACTTTTATAGCACTGAAATTAAATCATACTTCAGACATACGCTAACGATTATGTAGTTCTTTTCCCCCGTGTCACTTCCCCTTGTGGGATGCAATTTTTCGTTATTTGAAGCTCCGCTCTGGCTTTTGTCGAGGGCCCTGAATATAGCTGGGTTACATTTGTGGCCATAATGGCTGAAAAGGGTTTTTGTGACCTCTCCACGGGTGATTCTCATCCGCATGGTGGCACTCTGTGTCACCGGGTGTTTATCGCTTGTGTGATGTCCTGACGGGGTACAAGAAGCAGGCAAGAAATTATGTAACGGACTAAACACTGATGGCATAATTGTGGCTGTTGTTTACTTGTTTACTGGAAAGTAAGTTAGTTGCGTATCCTTTACATGACGTTGCAGAACCAACACTAATTTACATCCAGTAGTTTGCCATTGCTTGCTGGATGGTCTGCTTTCTTGATACCACTATCGAAACCAACGCAGGGCGCATTGCTCGCAGCTGGGATCCAACCTGGCATCCCGGCATTACGAAGCTAAGCGTTCGCATCGACTTAGCCACAGATCAGAAAGTAAATATTTGAAAACGGCGATTCTCAAGATATTCGTTTTACGTTTTTCTGAAAGGAAAAGAAAGGAGAAAAGGGCAAAGACAAAGGGTGGGAACTCCACATCCTTTCTTCTCTTCATTGATATCTTGAATTAAGAATCGATGCCATAGCACCCAGGACACTCACATAAGCGCTCCGTCCCCATCTTCAGCAGCAAGCGAAGAGTTACAATTCTGATGGTACCAGTAACTGTTTGATTGTTTATCCGTCTCGCCTTTCACTTGAACGCTGAGCGTCGGCCAGATCCCCTTGTAACTCCTCGCAGCGCCTTTCTTCCCAGACCGTAATGATCTATCTGTGCCTCGGCACTGTTCAATCGCTCCCAAAGAGTCTTCACAACATTCAGCTTGTCATATATCAGTTTACAGCCAGGTAGTGCAGAACAGGCCAGTCTATTTCCCAAAACACTGGCCTGAAGAAAATATCCTTCTTCTTCAGCGATCTCTGGTCATGCGCATAATCCACTGTGGGTCATAAACTGGGATGTCTTTTCAAGGTCTCTTAGGTTTCCCCAAAGCTTAGTTGTCAGTTCTACTGGGTGTTGCCATATGTCGCTCCGCAGCTCCGCCAGGAGAGGACAGTCTTGCAGGACATGTTCTGGAGTCTGTTCATCACGAAGGCACTGGCAGAGAGCTGTTTGGCTCATACCTAATTTATGTGAGTGTTTATTGAGTCTGCAGTGTCCAGTGCGTAAGCGAAAAACTGTGACTTGGTCTGTTCTGTTCAAGTGTTTCAGAAAATCCTTTCCGTAGTTATAACAAGAAAATATCCAAAGGACGCTAACTACCTAGGACCACTGAAGCAATACTTGCCACTTATGTGTGTACAGCTGAGGCGGGAGCCCGAAGACAACTTATCACAGACATCAGAAGGAGACAGTCATCATTTTTCGGCCATGTTATGAGAAGAGGGAAAATAGAACATGTTGTGACCACTGGAAAGATCTGTGGAAGGAGGGATAGAGGAAGACAGCGAGAGAAGATGCTTGACAGTCTTGTTGCATGGCATGGAGGTGAGTCGGTACACAAACTGATACATGCTGCAGGAGATCGCAGATTATGGAGAGGCATGATTGCCCACGCCAGTCGGCAAGGCACCTGAGGGTGATGATGATGTGTACAGCTGATTCTCTTATTGATATACCTAGTCAAAATGCTGAGGGAGGTGTCTGTATGCGCGTTCTACTTTATTTTATGTGTCTTTTTTTCTTCAAGGATGTTCTTTCCGGTAATCTTCCTCTTGTTCTTTGCTTGTTATATAACATCAACTTTGGGTGTTTGTGCTTATTTCGACTATCTGAGGCAGTTGGCACCGGGGCATTCTCGCCAAATGGCCAAACCATTTGATCTGTTTATTTTAAGACTAGTTCCTTAGCCACACATGCCAGTAGTTAAATTATAGAAACATGACAAGCTGGATGTTGTGAGGGCCCTCTGGGGGCGAGTGAACAGTGCCGATGAACAGATAGATCATTACGGTCTGAGGAGAATGGCACTGCGAGGAGTTACAAGGGGATCTGGCCGACACTCAGGGGAGAGGGAATGGGAAAAAGGGGGGGGGGGGGGTTGGCGAGACGGATATACAATCAGACTGTTACTGGTACCATCGGAATTTTAACTCTTCGGTTGCTGCTGAAGATTGAGACGGAGCGCTTATGGGAGTGTCCCGAGTGCTGTGATGTCGATTCTTAATTCAACATATAAAAACATCAATAATAACATCCTAGATACCGCCGTAACCGGTTGACTGCGTTTGCAGCACTTAATCCAGTAAGTGTCCCAGTGTTGCCACTTTTCTTCGACAAAAAATATCCAAAACAGTGTCAAAAAATATCTAAAAAGATCTAAATCTGCGTGGAATAGATCTAGAAAAAACATCCAAATTGAAAAAGTCAAAAATTACATAGCTTTTGTTATGACTTACCCTACATAATCATGTCCTCACCTTCACTGATGTTTACCTCACAAGATCCACGGGATAAACTTAGCTTGAATTTTCAGTGATGTGGAACCATAATTCAAGGCTGTATATAATGTATTGTATTGTTGTTGTCTGACAAATGATTTGGGAAAACCAGTAAAGTGTTTCAGCAATAAGGTATTCCAAATTCCTTGGTAAATGTTTAGATGAAGCACGTGATAACGCTAGCTGTAATGAAAAAGGAACGCAAAGTCAGCACAGTGGGGATACGGTTGAAACAAAGTTAGTATGATTTACGCGCGTTTTTATTAATCAGTACCGGGGCTGCCAAATATTTGTGCGTTGACCCCAGTGAGAGTTCAAAGTTCAAGTAATGGCAGTTGTCACAATGTACGTGCCAGACCAAAACAAAAATATTGTAGTAAATATTTTACGCAGTAATTATTAAACTGACAATGAAAGAAAAAAAAATCTATAAAATATCCAACTCCATATGAAAAGTTTCTAGAACAATATTTACGATCTAAACGTCAAAAACAGTATCTAAATGCAATGAAAAAGATCTAAATTTGGATATAAAAGATCCAAAGTGGCAACACTGAAGTGTCCCCATTTTTCAAACTGTATTGAAATCTGCGGAACACTAGAAGGTCACAGAAAATCAAGAGTTTGTGTCCATTCAAATTTTCGAGTGTGCCAAAGAAAATATGACAAAAGCCACGTCAATTGTAAATAACTACAGCTAGGGCGCTTTACAAACTAGCTACATGTTTGTGTTAATTCTGTTGTACGTTTTTTTTTTTTTTTTCTGTTGGCTGTTGTGTTTTATTTTCATTATTTTCATCCTTTTTATTCTCTTCGGTGGTAATTCTGGAAAAAAAATGTAGCAGAAGGCATGGTACCAGGAAGGAGGGGCAGGGGTCGACCGACACGAAGATGGGCATATAAGTGACTCCTTGAGTATGAAAGTACATGAGGCGGGAGAACTGGCGAGAGACCGAGTTTCTTTAAGGCAGACTGTGACGAGAGCGTTATTCTGCAAAGGACCTGCTACATGATTATGATGATGATGGTAGTTCTGAAGCGAATACAAATAAAGGCTCTGACTGGACAAATTATGTGAAATTTAGGATGGGGAGGGGGGGGGGGGTAATCCACACAACGGCCCCTAATAAACATGTCAAAAAATTTAAAAACAAATAAAGATCGCTTTTCACGCCTTAGGC